TACTTGTAAAATCATTCTATGAGGCCGGCATTGTCCGATACCAAACACACATAAACACTCTACAAGAAAAGAAAACTACAGACCAATTTCCCTGATGAACAATGATATAAACATTCTCAACAAAATACTAGCAACTGAATTGAACAACACATACACCATAACCAAGTGGGATCTATCTTTGGGATGCAAGGATGGTTCAACATGTAAAGATGCTTTGTGTGATGCACCACAATAACAGAAGAACAAAAAACACATTATCACCTCAACAGATGCAGATAAAGTATTTGATAAGAATCAACATCCTTTCATGATAGAAACACTTAAACTAGAAATAAGAGGAAACTATCTCAATAAAATAAAGGTCATATATGTAAAGGCCACAGCGAACATCACATTCAGTGATGAATGAAAGCTCCTGTAAGATCAGGAACAAGACAAGGATGCCCACCTTTGCCACTTATATTCAGCGTAGTACTGGAAGCCCCGTACTCTGCTTTGCTTAATTGCTCAGTCATATACGACTCTTTGCGACCCCATGGACTGTAGCCCGCCCGGATCCTCTGTCCATGGCGATTCTCCAGGCGAGAATACTGGAGTGGGTTGCCATACCCTCCTCCAGGAGATTTTCCAAGCCCAGGGATTGAACCCAGGTCTCCTGCATTGCAGTCAGATTCTTTACCATCTGAGCCTCCAGGGAAGCCCAAGAATCTGGAGTGGGAAGTCTATCCCTTCTCCAGGGGATCTTCCTGAACCCCAGGAGTCGAGGGGGGTCTCCTGTATTGCAGGCAGATTCTTTACCAGCTAAGCTGCCAGGGAAGCCCACTGGAAGCCCTAGTCTACAGCAATTAGGCAAGAAAAATAAATAAAAGGTGTCTAAATTAGATGAAAGATGTAAAATTATCTGTTTTTAGACAATGTGATCTTACACGTAGAAAGCCCTAATGATTTCTGAAGTGGATTCAGCAAAGTGACAGGGCAGATATAAAATCAATACACAAACATTTCTAATTATCAAAGAAATGCAAATCAAAACTATAATGAGGCATCATCTCATACCAGTCAGAATGGCCATCATCAAAAAATCTACAAACAATAAATGCTGGAGAGGGTGTGAGGAAAACGAGACCCTCCTACATTGTTAGTAGGAATATAAACTGATATAGCCATTATGGAGAACAGTACGGAGATTCCTTAAAAAACTAGGAATAAATCTACTATATGATCTAGCAAACCTACTACTGGGCATATATCCTGAGAAAACCACAATTCTAAAACACACATGTATCCCAGTGTTTACGGCAGCACTATATACAATAGCCAAGACATGGAAGCAACCTAGATGTCCATCAACAGATGAATGGATAAAGAAGATGTGGTACATATACACAATGGAATATCACTCAGCCATAAAAAGAGTGAATTTAAGTCAGTTCTAATGAGCTGGATGAACCTAGAGCCTGTTATGTAGAATGAAGTAAGTCAGAAAGAGAAAACAAATATTGTATATTAATACACACATATGGAATCTAGAAAAATGGTATTGATGAACCTATTTGCAGGAAAGGAATGGAGATGCAGATGTAGAGAATGAATTTGTGGACACAGTGGGGGAAGGAGAGAGGGGGGTGAATGCAGAAACTAGCATCAACATATGTACACTGTCATGTGTAAAATGGATAGCTGGTGAGAAGCTGCTGCATAACACAGAGTCCAGTCCGGTGCTCTGTGATGATCTAGAGAGGCAGGGTGGGGTTGGGAGGCTCAGGAGAGAGGGGATATGTGTGTAGTTGTAGCTGATTGCGTTGTTCAGTGGAAGCAAACATAAGACTGTGAAAATTTTTTTAAAAATCAACACACAAAAATTAGTTGCATTCCTATACACTAATGAGAAATAACCTACAAAGGAAATTAAGAAACAAATCCATTTATAATAGCATTAAAAAGAATAAAATACTTAGGAATAAACCTAACCAAGAATATGAAAGACGTGCACATTGAAAACTACCAAATGTTGCTGAAAGAAATTAAAAACACAAATAAATGGAAAGACATTCTGTGTTCACGGATTGGATGACTTACTATTTTTAAGATGTCAGTACTACCCAAAATGATCTACAGATTTAATGCAATCTGTATTAAAATTCCAATGACAAAGAGTTCCCTGGAGGCCCAGTGGTAAGGACACAGCGCTTTCACTTCAGGGGCCCAGGTTCCACCCCTGGTCAGGGAACTGAGATCCTACAAGCCACATGGCATGGCCATAAAAAAAAAATCCAAACGACAGAAATAGTTTATTTAATATTTATTTATTTAGAATTTATTTAATATTATCAGCCTTCTCTGGTGGCTCAGATGGTAAAGAATCTGCCTGCAATGCAGGCGTCTCCACAAAGATATGGAGAAAAGGGAACCCTCATGCACTGCTGCTGGGAATGTAGATTGGTACAGCCTCTCTGGAAAAACTATAGAGAGTCCTCAAAAAGTTAAAAATAAAATTATCATGTGATCCAGCAATTCCATTCCTGGGTATTTATCCAAAGAAAACAAAAACACTAATTAGAAAAGATATGATCACTGCAGCATTATTTACAATAGTCAGGAAAAGGAAGCAATCCAAGCACCCATCAGTAGATGAATGGATAAAGAAGATGTGGTATATATACACGGGGAATATTACTCAGTCATAAAAAAGGATGAAATCTTAACAGTTGTGGCGACATGCATGGGCCTAGAGGGTATTATGATAAGTGAAATAAGTCAGATAAAGATAAATACTGTATGACTTCACTTACATGTGAAATCTCTGAAACAAAACAAATGAGCAAACCAAACTAAACAGACACAGAGTTAGATACAGAGAACAAATAGGTAGTTGCCAGAGGGAAGTTGGGTGGAGGAAGAAAGAAATAGATGAGGGACATTAAGAGATACAAAGGTTCCAGATGCAAAATATATGAGCTACAGGTATGAAATGTACAGAGAGGGGAATATAGTTAATTACTACATAGTATCTTTGTATGGTCACATATCATCAGTGGTGATCATTCTGAAATGTATAGAATGTTAAATTACTAATTGTGTAACAGAAATTAACTAGTTTTACAGGTCAACTATATGTCAAAAACAAATTCATAGAAAAAGAGATCAGATTTGTGGTTACCAGAGGCAGGGTTAGGGGGAATTGGATGAAAGTAGTCAAAAGGTACAAACTTCCAGTTATAAGTACTAGGGATGTAATGTATACCATGGTAAAGACAATTAACACCGCTGTATGGTATGTATGAAAGTTCTTAAGAGAATAATCCTAAGAGTTCATATCATACAATTTTTTTCCATTTCTTAAGTTTGTACCTATATGAGATGACAGATGTTCACTAAACTTACTGTGATAATACTTTCATTATGTATGTAAGTCAGATCATTATGCTATATACCTTAAACTTATGCAACGCTGTATGTCAACTATATCTCAATAAAACTGGAAGAAAAATAAATAAATGAAAACGGTTAAGAGAGTAAAATTTGTTGCAGGTATTTTACTACAATTAAAAAAACAAAACACTGACAATATCAAATGCTGGTGAGGATATAGAACAACAGGAATGATCATTCATCGCCGGCAGAAATTTAAATGGTGCAGCCACTTGGAAGAGACTTTTCAGTAAAGTCTGTTGAAAAGAAACTCATATGACATAAAATGAACCACTAGCCATTTTAAAGTGCACAGTCAGTGGCATTTAGGACAGGGTATTGTGTGACCAGCACCTCTACCTAGTTCTGCACCTTCCACCACCAAGAGGCAGCTCCTACACAGGGGCTCCGCAGGCCCCCAGGGCCCCTGAGAGCCGCTAATCTGACTTTTGTCTCTGTGAACTGTCTAACCCGAGCATTTCACATAAGCAGAATCATATCATGTGACTGTGCGCTTGGTCGCTTGGTCATGTCTGACTCTTCGGAGTCCCTGGACTGTAGCCCAACAGGTTCCTCTGTTCTTGGAATTCCCAGGCAAGCATCCTGGAGTTGGTTGCCATTTCCTGCTCCAAGGGATCTTCCAGCTCAGGGATCAAACCCCTTGTCTCTTGCATCTCCTGTATTGGCAGGCAGATTCTTTACCAATAGCACCACCTAAGACTTATCCACGTTGCGGCATGTACCAGTACTTCACTCCTTTTTAAGGCTGAATACTATTCTGTTGTGTGTACAGACCACATCTTCATCTTTCATCAGCTGACAGACACTTGGGTTGTTCTGTCAGCTGCTGTAGCCAGTACAGTGAAGACCTTGTCTGTACAAGTCTTTGTTTGACTATTTGTGAAGGGTTATTTTCTTAATGCCACATCCTCCACTGCCTTTAGATGAGTAAAAGCTAAGAAGATAAGTGAAGGCAGGGAGTAGAAATAAAATTAATACGTAAAGAGCAAATTATTAATATTGACTGTCTTGACTAATAGTAATAGTTAATATTTAAATTAATAATCTTTAAGAAGCACCTATATTTAACATCTTTATCTTACATATATTTATAATTCTAACATACTTTATCACCTCTGTTTTATAGATCAGGAAAGTGAGGCTCAGAACATTAAATAACTTGTTCACATTCACACAGCCAGTGAGGGTCAGCCAGCAATGGACCCTGAGTTTCCCAGACCCCACAATGACTTTCTGTTACCTCCCCCATCAAACTAGCAATGGAGGTGAGAGAATGGATAAGAGGTACATCACTATGACAAGTAACTCTCACCAAAACACTCACCTGGGTGAAGTCATTATGCAGAAGCTAACGGTTCAAAAACCCTGGTTGTACCCATAAACTCAGAGAAACAAAGAGGGGTGATGATGTGGTTTTTCAGCATGTATAGACAGCTCAGCAGGTCACTCTAGACCCTTCCCCTCTGCTTATTCTCTGACGGAACACAGTTGGTCCAGCCCCTACCTCCCACCAACCCAGTGGAACTGAACACAGGCACATCCCAAAATGGATGCAAGTAGGCACGTACCTGGGGCTGGATGCTCTGCACTCTCCCGGGAGAGCTCCTGCAGGCACTGGTCCCTCTCTACCCGCAGCACCTGCAGCACATCACACAGTCGAGGCGGGGTACCAACCTGAAAACCCAAAACCAAGAGTCCTTGTCAGCACCACAAAGCTGACTCTAGCACGTAAGGCCTCGCTGTGAGCAAGAATGGGGCCAGACAACAGAGATTCCGAAGGAGGAAAACAGAATAGTGAATGTAGCAAAAAATAAGCAGACTTCTATCCCTTCTCCAGGGGAATCTTCCTGACCCAGGAATCGAACCCGGGTGCCCTGCATTGCAGGTGGGTTCTTTACCAACTGAGCTATCGGGGAAGTCCCACAGATACAGAAACAAACTTGTAGTTACCAGCCGGAAGAGGGAACGGGAGAAGGACAAAATAGGGCCAGGGAGTAAGGGGCACAAATCGTTAGGTATAAAATAAGCTGCAAGGATACACTGTACAACACAGGGAATGCAGCCCATATTTTATAATAACTATAAGTGGAGTATAACCTGCAAAAATTGTGACTCACCAATTGTACACATCTGTAACCTATATAATGTTATACATCAACCATACTTCAATAACAATAGACTTGTAAGAAAAAGTAATTTAAGCTATAGACTTTAATTAATGTATCAATATTAGTACACCAACCGTAACCAATGCACCACTTTAATGCAAAACATTAATAACGAGACACTGGAGGAGGGATTGAGGGGTATATGGTCATTCTTTGCACTTTCTGCACAATTTTTCTATAAACTTAGGTCCTCTCAACAAAGTAAGTTCTATTAATTAAAAAAAATAACTGGGAGAAATAAGTTCACCTAATTTAAAGACTTGCTGCATAGCTATAGTAGTCAAAAGAACTTGGTATTAGCAGAAGAATAGGCAACAGTGTTGCAGTAATTGGACAGCTACAGATAACAAAACATACCTAACACTCTTACCTTATATAAAAATTACCTCAAAATAATGATGGACTTGAGTGCAAAAAACTCAACTAAAACTTTTAGAAAAAAGCACAGGAGAACATTTCCAAAATGCAGAGCAAGACAAAGATTATACTTGACACCAAAAGCAAGATCCATAAAAAGAAAAACTGATCAACTGGACTTTATTGAAACTAAAAACTTTCGCTCCATGAAAAACCATGTTAAGAGGATGAAAAGACAAGCTATAGACTAGGAGAAAATATATGTAATTAACAAATCAGGATTAATATCTAGAATGTATAAAAAATATTCCAAACCCAATAGTAAGCAAATTTTACAAATTTAACTAGAAGATAGGCAAAATGCATGAAGAGACAGTTCACAGAAGAAGATATACAGATGGCAAACAAGAACATGAAACGATGTTCAACATTATTAGCTATTAGGTAAATGCAAATTGAAATCGCAATGTGATATTACTACATGCTTATTAGAAGATCTAAAATAAAAAATCACAACAACGTTGGCAAGGCTGTGGTGAAACTAGATCACTTGCATATTGCTGGTGGGATTGTAAAATGAGACAAACACTCTGGAAAACAAGTTGGCAGGGCCTTAAGAAAAGCTAAACATGCAACTATTAATATTACGTGATCCAACCATTGAACTCCTGGGCATTTATCCTGGAGAAGTGAAAGCTTATGTTCACACACACACACACACACACACACACACACAAATACCTGTATACTAATATTTACAGCAGCTTTATTCCTAATACCTCAAAACTCAAACAATCCAGATGCCTTTCAATGTGTAAGTGGTGAACTATGGACCATCCATATTATGAAATTCTGCGTTTAGTCTCTCAGTCAGGTCCGACTCTTTGGGACCCCATGGACTGTAGCCCGTCGGGCTCCTCTGTCCCTGAGGATTCTCTAAGCAAGAATACTGGAGTGGGGTTGCCATGCCCTCCTCCAAGGGAACTCAGGGATCAAACCCAGGTCTCCCACATCGCAGGAGGATTCTTTCACCATCTGAACCGACAGGGAAGCCCTCAGCAATAAAAAGGAGCAAAGTGGTGACACATGGACCAACCTACATGAATCTCCAGAGAAGCATGCTCAATGAAGAAAGCCAAGCCCAAACAGTTACAGTATGATTTCCTCTATATAATGTTCTTTTTTAGTTTAATTTTTATCTTATGTTGGAGTGTAGCAGATTTACAGTGTTGTGTGAGTTTCAGGTGTATAGCAAAGTGATTCCGTTACCCATATACACATATCCATTATTTTTCCGATTCTTTTCCCACATGGTTACCACAGCACAGTGCTAAATACAGTTCCCGGTGCCCCACAGTGGGTCCTCATTGATTATCTGTTTTATATACAGTAGTGTGCATATTTTAACCCCAAACTCTTACCTATCACCCCTACCGCCACCGCCATTCCCCTCTGGTAGCCACAAGTTTGTTTTCTATGTCTGTGAGCCTGTTTCTGTCCTGTAAATACATTCACTTGTATCTTGTTTTATATTCCACATCATTTACATAACATTCTTGCAGTGGTAAAATCATAGAGATTGAGACTTTAATGTGTCAGCTGAGAAGGAAAGCTGAGGGTGGGGGGGAGAAAGGCATGACTGTAACGGTGCACCATGATGGGTCTTCGGGGTCGCAGACTTGTTCTGCACAGTGCCTGGATCAATGTCAGTATCATAATTGGTCAGCCAAGCCCTAGCTCACTTGCAAACACCAAGAAAGAAAGAAACATGCGTTGCTACATGCCATTGAGTTTTTGTGATTGTTATGCAGCTTAGATGACTGGGTTGGGGTGGTGTTTCCTGAAAGTTGGTGGTGATGAGCATTCTTGGAGGTTGAAGAAAGGGGCACTCTAGCACAGAGGGCTCTTGTAAGCAATGGAGCAAGATGAGGAATGAGGGAACACCTACAGTGGGAATCCTCTCCAAGAAAGGTTCAACTTCCTTCATGTTTTTCCCACAACTATGGAAAAATATGTACTCATTTCACATGCCAGCAAGGTTATGCTCAAAATCTTTCAAGCTAGGCTTCAGCAGTACATGAACCAAGAACTTCCAGATGCATAACCTGGATTTAGAAAAGGCAGAGGAACCAGAGATCAAATTGCCAACATTCACTGGATCATCGAAAAAGCAAGGGAATTCCAGAAAAACATCTATTTCTGTTTCACTGACTACAATAAAGCCTTTGACTGTGTGGATCACAACAAACTGGAAAATATTTAGAGATGGGAATACCAGACCACCATACCAGTTTCCTGAGAAACCTACATGCAGGTCAAGAAGCAACTTAGAACTGGACATTCGGGAACAATAGACTGGTTCCAAATTGGGAAAGGAGTGCAACAAGGCTGTATATTGTCACCCTGCTTATTTTTAACTTCTATGCAGAGTATATCACTCACAATGCTGGGCTGAATGAATCACAAGCTGGAATCAAGATTGCAAGGAGAAATATCAACAATCTCAGATATGCAGGTGATATCACTCTAATGACAGAAAGTGAAGAGGAACTAAAGAGCTTATTGATGAGGGTGAAAGAGGAGAATGAAAATGCTGGCTTAAAACTTAACATTCAAAAAACTAAGATCATGGCATCCAGTTCCATCACTTCATGGCAAATAGATGGGAAAAAAGCAGAAGTGGTGACAGATTTTGTTTTTTCTTAGGCTCCAAAATCATTGCAGATGGTGACTGTAGCCATGAAGTTAAAAGATCCTTGCTCCTTAGAAGGAAAGCTATGGCAATCCTAGACAGTGTATTAAAAAGCAGAGACATCACTTTGCCAACAAAGGTCTGTCTAGTCAAAGCTATGGTTTTTGACTAGATGTGAGATGTGAGAATTGGACCATAATGAATGCTGAGCGCCAAAGGCTGGTGCCTCGAATTGTGGTGCTGGAGAAGATTCTTGAGAGTCGCTTGGACAGCAAGATCAAACAAGTCAACCCTAAAGGAAATCAACCCTGAATATTCATCAGAAGGACTGATGATGAAGCTCCAATGCTTTGGCCATCTGTCTGATTGAAAGAGTCGACTCACTAGAAAAGATCCTGATGCTATGAAAGATTGCGGGAAGGAGGAGAAGGGGGTGACAGAAGATGAGATGGTTGAATAGCACCATTGACTCAGTGGACATAAGCTTGAGCAAACTCCAGGAGACAGTGAAGGACAGGAAAGCCTGGCACGCTGCAGTCCATGGGGTCACAAAGAGTCAGATGTGACTTAGCGAGCAAACAACAATAATGGAAAAATAAGCATTAGAGGATAGTTTAGCTTCTTTTAACTCTAAATTTCTTAAGTTGTAGCAAAATACACATACCATTTGCCATTTCAATCATGTTTAAGTGTACAATTCAGTGGTATTAAACGAAAAGTTGTACAGTGATCACTCCTATCCATTTCCAGGACTTCTACAGCCCAGCAGAAACTCTGTACCAATTAAACAGCAACCTCTATGCTACTTTCTGACTCTGTGAATATGTCTGTTCTAGATACTTCATGTAGGTGGCATCATACAATATTTGCTCTTCTGTGTCTCATTTCACATCCATGTTGTAGCATCTGTTGGAATTTCATTCCTTTATATGGATGAATACTATTACATTGTATGGACAGACCACACTTTGTTCATCTACTCCTCACTTGGGTGTTTCCACCTCTTGGCTATTGTGAATAATGCAGCCAAGAACAGAGGTGTATATGTATCTCTTTGAGTCCCTGCTTTCAATTCTTCTAGGTACATATCCAGAAGCGAAATGGCTGGATCATACGGTAATTCTATGTTTACTTTTTTAAGGGACCACCACACTGTTTTCCACATGAGCTTTACCATTTTACCTTCCTGCCAACAATGCACAGAGTTCCAATTTCTCTACGTCCTCATCCTCAACCCTTATTCTTCTGTTTTAATAATATCTATTGTCCTGTGCTGTGCTGTGCTAAGTCATTTTAGTCGTGACTCTCTGTGACCCTATGGACTGTAGCCTGCCAGGCTCCTCTGTCCATGGGATTTTCCAGGCAAGAACACTGGAGTGGATTGTCTTTTCCTCCTCCGGGGGATCCTACCATCCCAGGGATCAAACCTGCGTCTTTTCCATCTCCTGCCTTAGCAG